CTTTGCCAGATGCAACATTTTTAAATTGCCCTGACAAGCTTCTAATCCTAAACCCTAAACTGACTGATTTTTACCTTCCTTCATCGTTTGCCGTTTTTCCATCAGGTGACCTTGTTGGTGATCTGTGCTCTGGCCTTCCTGGTGTGTGTGGTGTTCCTGGTGGTCTACAAAGTTTACCAGTATGAGCAGCCATGCCCTGACAGCTTTGTGTACACGGTGGGTGGAGACACTTAAAAATGTATTTTCACGCTTGGTTATGTGTTTGCCGCTCCTGAGAGTTGTCTTCAATGGTCATCATTCCGTCTGCCAAATGCACGGCTGTTGAATCGACTTTGATTGAATGAAAAGCAAAATGTCTCATCTTCACTTTGCAATGATGCAAGTACTAAATCTGAGCTCAGACACGCTACGCATGAAATTAGTTAGGAAAAGTGGTGCATTTGATTGCAATTATGAGTGCACTGAATTGAAATTTTGTTATATTACAAAGATGGATACAATTATATGAACCTCCTGTTTGATCGTTAGTGTGCAACAACTATTTCATCATACTGTGGGTTGCATAGGAGCAATTTTAACAAATCCAGGTGTGAAATCCACAGTGGCGGACCATCAGGGCCCAGTAAGGCTTTTTCCACTGACCTACATTTCCAACCTAAATTCTATTATTGGTTCCATGAAATTGTATTCCTTTCTTCCCAGCAGTCTCTCTTCATTCCACAGCAGTTTCCCTTGACTAATTCAAGTATGTCCATGTGGATGTTAGACTCGATGCCCGAATTAGATTTTGGCCTTTATGTGTCGCCATGACAATTTGATCTGCTCTGGCCCTTCAGAATCTGTATTATTACAATAGCAATGGGACTACTTCTTCAACCATTTAGACATTAAATTCGCCTTAGAGCTTTAGCTGGCTGGCCGAAAGTACAAGTGACTCAAGTAGCGTATTTTCCGCACTGTAAGGCGCATTAAATTTTTTCAAAAGCCAAAATTGCGCCTCATGATCTGATGTGTCCTATATACGGATCAATATTCAGATTTTTCCGATGTACTATTTTAAATGTTTTTTAAAGCACTTGAAATGCTATATAAATAGTCCTGTATTGTATTGTATTCCCTTTAGCATAGCTCCATATAGTGGATGCATAACATAACCTCAGCCACTTTTGTAGCTTCTATTCTATGCGCCTTATATTTGAAAACAGTTTTAAAATAGGCCATTCATTGAAGGTACGTCTTAGACTCCGAAGCGCCTTATAGTGCGGAAAATACGGTCATTTTCTGGGGTGAGGTATTCTGTCATAATGTTGATGAGATATACGCCACACATAAAGGGGTTAATTTGTCTTCTCCCTGTTCTGTCCGACGACCGTCTCTGCGTGGAGCAGCAAGGTCGCTGCATGCCGGCTGGGATGTACGGCGGCAACTTCCCCCATCAGGGCCCGGGGGGCCGCGGGCGCCTCTTCACCCTCATCAACCACTACAACATCGCCAAGCAGACCATCACTCGGTCCGTATCGCCGTGGATGACCATCATGTCCGAGGAGAAGGTCACCCAGCAGGAGACGGAGACGGCACAGAAGCTGGCCTAACCCCACTGGGCGGAGCCTCGATAATAAATAATACGATTGTGCCATTCAAGCAAACCCGAGTGCTCGTCTTGCCCGAGGTGCTGCGCCGCCTTCAAGGTCGGCTGAATGAGGCTTCTGCTGGGTTCATGGTTTGTTTGAATAGCAGATGCTGTTATTTATTGATACACAGTTGATTGGGGGCATACATACATGTAGAAATGCCCCCCTGCCCACCACACACACACACACACACACACACACACACACACACACACACACACACTTGATGTTAACATTGTACATACACACACACGTTAGAACTCAATTTAGTGAAATGACTGTGAGTTATCATGTTTGTGACACATTTAGATGAAGATGCACGCACGACAATTTTGCAGGGGTTTTTTTTTTCCATTTTCAATAGACCTTGTTTTGAACTCTGTAGTTATCACGAAGCAATGTTTGCAGCATAAATGCCACTGAGGTGTGGAACTTAATTCTGTAGGCAAAAAAAATGTCGGGAAAAAAATCCAAGTGTTATATTCAGTTGTTATATGAATTTTAAGAGCAACGTGGACGCGCTACGTCACTTACAAATAAGCAAATCATGTTACTCTCTGCCATTAGTTCAAAGCTGCGTCAATAATTGTATTTGACATCAAAACTGCTGCTTTTAAAAATGACTTTTTTTCCTGTACAAAGCCGACTAAATTGTTGTGACAAAAGGATCGACGTCCACTGGCTGCACCAGCAACAAATGTATTTTGCACAATTTTAGGTTGTGCAGTTTGACCCAAACTGCTTTCTGCATCAATGTTTTTTTTTTTGGATGTATCAAGTGTATTTCTAAAAGATTGCCACCCATTTTGTGAACACAATGTGCATTTTTGCAAGCTACACAAGATTGAATTGAAAAGGCTGCGTTTCTCAGCATAACTTTCATGCTGCTCTACTGAATGTTTTTGCTTTGATAGTAATGACGCTGTATTGTGCAACTCTTTGTAATTTATAAATGTCAATAGATAGCCACCGGGAGCCATTGATTGGCTGACTGTTTTATTTGACTCATCCGAAAGTAGTCGCTTGTCTTGACGCTTTGTTTTCTTGTACGTGTCTGTTAAATGGTCACAAATGCCCAATTTTCATACAGTGTTATGAAGTACCATTGAAGTGCATTTGCTACATTAAATGTTAAATGAATTGAAATAAAAGTGCCCACGTTTCCCACCAACAATGTTGTGGAATCTATATGACGGTGAGGGTAAAGGTGACATACGGAGAACTTTTGCGTGGTTGTGGTTCGGCAATGGCAAATTCACCCAGTCAGATTTTTTTTTTTTTTTAAATGGGCGAAAAATCACGAAATTGCTGCTTTTTGTGCTAATACGAAAACCAAAGTGTTACTTTGGCACTATCTTGACGCAAAGGAACTATTTTGAAGTGCTTCTTCTGCCGTTTTGTGATCTACGGGCAATTCTGAAGCTACATATTTGAAACAATCAACTATCCATTTTCACCTTCTAGCCTGAAGTCAACAAAGATGTTAAAAAGTACTTCGGAGATGATAATGTGAGTGATGAGCTGCTTTATTCGTCCTACGGTCTGCTGCTGAAGACAAACCATTCTCAATATGACAGTGAAGTTGAATTTACAGATGCATGGTTCTTTCAAAATTAAAAAACTAAGACTGCAAAGGTAGCAATTTTCATCTCGGAGGAAACCTTCAAATGCATCAAGGTTGTTCAAAAGGAGGCGCAACAGAACATGCATTATTTCGACCAATGACGTTTGCCTTTTATCAAGCGTTTGCTTGCCGAGACCACCACACCATCCAAAAGTGGACCTCGTGCTGAAAATCCAAGTGTGGCTCCATCCACAGAGGCTGCCTTCAACTTGTGTGAAGCAGATACATAACTCTCTTAGAAGAGGAGGCCTCAAGAATCTTCTAAATAGTCTCTTGTCTTTCAAATTCAGCACGCTAAATCGAAAACCTCCCGTCTGGTGTTGTCGTCACTTGTTCACCACGTGACTGAGCCGGATCGCCTCCCAACATGCTGCGGTCCGTGATGGCGTGCCTGTTAGCTGTCATACCAGTCCAGGAAGAGCAGCGAGAAAGAGCACATCACCAGGAAGAAGAGGATCCAGACACGGAAGCCGGCATTGTTTTTGATGGCCTTGTGACACAAACAAAAAATGACATCAGTAAGCGCAGGACGATCGAGCCCGTGCGGCGTTTCGCTGAAGCTCACCTCCCGTATATCCTCATTGCCTTCTTTAACGTTCTCTGTAGCGCCGACCACCAACTGATGTATGTTATCAATTTCAGTCTCCTGCCATGACAAGTGAGGAGTGGCAGGTTATTAAAAATAAATCAATCAATCACACGTCAAACCAAGTTAAGAGCCAAATCTTACTTGTTGGAGGACTTTTTCAGAAAAGATTTCCTGCAGTCTTGAGATTTCCACAACCTTCCCCTCGATTTGCCTGGTGGAAGGACGCAAGAAGCAAGACTTGAATCCAAAATGAAAAAAAAAAAAAATCCCCTATCGCATTCAATCCTGAGTTCTTGCTGGCCATGGTGATATTTCTGAGAGGGAACAATCGTTGACCTCTGATGACTCACCTCACTTCATCAACCAGGTTGCTCATTTCACTGACCAGCCTCTGATTTTCCTGCTCAAACTGCACGCATACAAGCAACAAACAAGCAGGAGTCAGTCCCGTTTTGCCGCAACAGAGAAATAATGTGAAATGCAAGGTCAGAGACAACCAGAGTGTATCACACCGGATAGACAAAGTCACAGATAAATTACTTCATCAACATCATCATCTGGTAAACTACACTTTCGTAAACCCTTCAGGTTACCCATCTATCAATGTATCCTATCCTAGTTGACTTTGGAGATTTTAGACATCCCAGACTAGTCGGCAGCCACTCACTGGGCCCACAAGCATCTACGTCCACTCACATCTCAAAATTTTAAGTACCGTATTTCCCGAACTATAAAGCGCACCTAAAAGCATTCCATTTTCTCAAAAGTGCGCCTTATAATCCGATGTGCCTTCTATATGGATCAATATTCTGATTTCTTGGACGTAGTATTTTAAATGTTCTGTAAAGCGCTTTGTCACAGCTGCAGCGGTTGTGAAAGCTCTATATAAATAAAGCTGTATTCTATTGTATTCCCTTGAGTGTAACTCCACCCAGTGGATGCATAATGCAACAGCAGCTGCTTTTGTAGCCTCTATTCTATGTGCCTTAAAATGCAGTGCGCCCTATAGATGAAAACAGTTTTAAAATCGGGCCATTCATTGAAGCTGCGCCTGTTATACTCAGAAGTGCCTTATAGTGCGGAAAATACGGTATAAACCAAAACTGCACATTTTTGGAACGTGGGAGGTCGTTCGAGTACCTGAAAAAACCCACGAGGGAACAGGGAGAACATCCAAACCCCACACAGAAAACCCGAGCCGAGGTTGGAACCAAGAAAGGCATGACTGTCAGGCAGATGTGCTAGCCACATTCCCCAAAGTGCCTCCCACACTCCGAGCCTTTGGCCATGACGAATTTAAAACCTCCAAACATCGCAGAAGAAGCCATGTTGGACACATGTTGTGTTCAGTGGTGGGACGTCTGAAGAGTCACAAACCATTTGGATCTCCTCAGGCGAGAGCTCGTCCTCCACTTTGCCTTCCTCCCACAGGTTGACACTTTGGTCCGACGCTTCTGTTGCACTCTTGTCTGAATCACACACAGATTCATTCCGTGACTAGGAAGGTCGTCGGTGTCACGACAGCGCGTTGTAGTTGCTCTACAAATAGTTTGTGGTCTCTGGACTGTCTGCCCATCATCACGTGTGAATTCAAACAATCAAGTGAATCTTTGTCTGCTGCCTATATGTCCCGTTAAAACCAGGAAGGGCAAATTAGCTTTCTCAAATCAATTTTTTACGTTGAACCTCTTTATGGTGAACTAGCAATCACCAGCCAAAGATACCGAGGACGCACGCATCACATAAACAGAGTTCATTGACATACCAGAGCTTTGCTCCTTCGCCGTCACTTCCTCCTTGGACTCCTCATCCACGATTTTCTCCACACGACCGTGCTGCTCGGATCCCAGTCTTGACCTGAATTCAGGAGTCTCGTGTTTCCAACCAGGAAACGAGGACAAGCAACATCAATTGAAACAACTACTCACAGTCTCTTCTTGTCCACCATTCTCTTGACTCTTATGGCCCTCTGCTCCGAATACAGCTTGCATACTCCTTTGAAAGCGTTCCAAACATGCGCACATTCAGGCCAATGCAAACATTTTCACGGGCAAACAGTCCAAAAGTTACGGAGCGGCAAACATCTTATTTTCAGTTGCTTCGGACTCACCTTTCAAGTACATTTCAATGAGGTCCAAGACTGCTCCCCTGTGCTCTTTGGTCTGGGCTGACGTCGCTGGCTTGTCAGCTAGAAAGCATGCAAAGTATAGAGTGTCGGGTAAAAATGTTAAGGTGCCACATCTCAAATCACTGCAGACGATACACACCATCGATGCGTAGCTGTTTGATGGCGTCGGAACACGTCCGCATAAAGATTTGGGCATCCTGGTCAATCTGATCACGTTCGCTATCCGTCATGCGGGTGAGATCTGATGAGATGAGACTGTAAGATACACGACAACAACCTTCGCTAACGTAAATTGGACAAAAAAAAAAAAAATCTTCAGGGGAAGTTTAGATGAAACTGAACTACTGCGCAACCATCTTTTCATTTAACAGCATGTTGCTTCTTTTCATTCTGAAAATATCTTGACCCGAATGGAAGAAGGAGCTGTTTTTTTTTTTTACATTTTGAAAAAGGAAGGTCACGGGGGGACAACTCCAAAATATTCCAATCAAAACAGAGCCAAAGTGGCGGAATAAGAAGGAAGCGCAAAATCAGATTGCGGCAACCGTTCAAGTCGATGAGACCCGAATGCGTACAAATGAATTGTTGATGGGTTTTCCCAGCGCTTTTGAAAAGCAGGCTCCACCTAACTACAGACATCTTGATGTTTGGCTAATGTGTTGCGGTTGCGACTTGGAGAGAGGAAGTCGTACAGTTTTTCCGGGACGTTAATCCTTCTCTGCTTGGTTGCACTTCAATTATTGCCGACAACTAGGCTGGAGCCCGCTGCGTCAGACCACACCGCTCGATCTGGCTCACCAGAAAGCTGACGCGCATTTTGACAACTCGCATCAAAGCGGCGTTTTTGTCACATTTTGTGAGATTTCCTACAGCGCCGAGCCGAGGCTTACCTTCCCGCGCTCACATAATCCTTCCTGTGTTGCAGTAAGAAGTCTTTGAGCTTGGTGATGTTAATGATCTAGGAAAAAGACGTTACTCAGTGTCATTATAAACATGTCAAAGCGTCACATTAGCAAGCGGCAATTTTCTCGTAGCTACTTTTAGGCAGAGCGCGGCTAAAATGGATCATCTTGCGCTTATTGAAGATGACAGGTGACCAATGTCCGTCCCGTGGCCGTGAACTCACAATATTTACCTTTGACAATTCATCAGCATGCGGGACACTACTAAATTCAAACTTGCCATTTCCCCCCGTCAAGCTGCCCTTACAAATTAAAAAAAAAAAAAAAAAAAAGGCGAGCGAGCGAGCGACTGCACACACAGCACTGGCTGGCAGAGTGATTGCAAATAAGCTTTAAATTCAGGATGTGTTTCTATTTATCGCCGAGTGTATATGTGTACAGGGAAACCAAAGGAAACGTGCTTCAATTCAATATTTGCCCCCTGTAATTCAGTCAAATATGAAAGAAGGAAAAAAAAAAGACCCAATTGCTTCCCCCGTCTACAGAGTTCTGCTGGCGGCGCAGACCCTCACACAGCGGGCTCTGTTGGACGGCGCGCAAGACGCGACTCGGACAAGCGAAGGATTGAAAAATGACACAATGGCTTTGACTGTGACGGGAGTCCGCGAGCACGGCAGATTATTATGATAGCAT